TGCTGAGATGCATCTGAACCACAGCTGTCCTCCCTGGATGCTGAGATACATCTGAACCACGGCTGTCCTCCCCGGATGCTAAGATGCATCTGAACCACGGCTGTCCTCACTGGGAGCTGAGTGTACGTGCAGGCTGCACTAGCCACTTTTTGTGCTGTACCATTTTCTATCTTAAAGAACAACTGAAATGCAAGCCACTTGTGTTAACATTGTTGAGTATGTTGTTAATTTTATTTTATTTTTGCATTGCTACCTAAGCACTCTACCACTGAGCTCCTACTCTAGCCTCAAACAGTTTTACATTGCTCAGTTTTGTCTAATATGAGAAACACTACTAGATAAAACCCACATAAAAGTTGTGAAGGCTCTCAACAATCTTAACATAATTAAATATCATTATCAACCACTGAAATAATGTTTCTTTAAAAAGAGAGCTGCTGCGCATATGAAAATCATGTTTATAATAGTTTGAAAATATCTAACAAAAGAGAGCCACAAAATGCGCTACTGTCTAGTCAATGGTGACAGACATGCATAAGCATGGGCAAGGAACAGGTGCTGGGAGCTGATAATCATAAATACTGACAGGTTCTGCACGGAGATTGCTCTCTAGTCTTTTGAACCTTTGCTTCCATTTAAAGATGCATTTATGGGTATGTTGTATGCAACAAAGACCAATAAGAACTTTAATCAGAAGATCAATATGCAAAACACCTCAACCTACTTCTGTAGAGGATTCAATGTATATTTATGGTTTCAGTTAAAAATGTCGAAAGAATGTTTGCAGCTTAAAAAAAAAACTCTATTGCCTTTTTTCCAACTAACAAATACACAGGAGATGCCAAGAACAAGGAGGCATAGGAGAGCTGTACTCTTCAGTACAGAAAAGATGTCTATCTCTCAGTTCGTGTTTTACTCACGCTTCCTAAGCGGCAGATACTATCACTCTCCACAGCCATTTTCCCTTACTCTGTAGGGAATACAATTTTCAGCCACAGCCTCAGATACTCTGAATGCTGAGTACATTCCTCTCTGCCTTGCAGCAAGTGTGACCCATGTAACTATATACTAGCTAACAGGATGTGACAGCTGGAGCTGACACTAAAGACCAGGAAGCGGAGCATGCCCTTCAGTCCTGTGCTATCTCCGTTGTATATGTTTGTGAGGAAGAAAGAGATTCCCAATTTTGTTTAGGGCATTGTAATTGTGGGTCTGAGCTAACGACTCCCTATCCTGTTTGAGCATCTTTCTCTATGCTCCACAGACTCACTGCAGATTGCCAGGCACTGTCGCTGGTGGGCAGGTGTAATGGTTAACTTCCATCCAAGAATCACAGGGGTAGGGAAAGAAGGCCAGGCCTCAGTGTCAGAAGATTGCAATATTGGTCACAGTACTGTCACTTGGGAGCAGAGAGATCTCAGGCATGTCAAATTGCTTTTCCCAGAGAGAAAACAGATATGCAGAAGAGATATCTCTATTTGATATACTAAATTGTTATTTATTGTAAATCACCACCATGAATACAACACAAATAAAAAAAGCAAGACTGAAATACCAGATGTGTCAAATTTCATTATTGGGCAGTGAAAGATGAAGACCGAGCAAGTATTTGTGAAAACTAGAAAATAAACAATCTGTTTTTCCATAATCCTAGTACAGCAATATTTTTCTTAAAACAAAAAAAAATTAGTTTTATTTAGATAAAGAAATACCAAAACTAACACAGAAAAAAGATTTTGGGAAAATAACTTATAATAACTGATTTAAAATGACAGGGCCTTCACTGGGGATATTACCCACAGTTAATGGTAGGCCCCATGCACAGCAGTAGATGGCCAACACAAAATCAACTCAATGATATTTTTGTAGACTTTTGTCTCATATTGCTTTGTTTGGCCATTCTTTATTTTACTAGTCATTTGTCTATATATTATGATTTCCAATTTTATGTTTTTATGAGTCTTGGTTTTGTGTATGTATGTGGTGTATGCATTTCTTCTTTTTTTAAATTCTATTTTTGTTGTCATTTGCCTGTTTCCTTTCTAGAGAGAAAAAGAAAGAAAGGGCATAGAGTTGGGTGGATCAGGGGGCGGGGAGAAGCTGGGTGGAGTTGGAGAAGGGAAAACCCATTATCAGATCATATGTGAAAAATATTTTCAATAAAAATATATATTAAAATAAAACGATAGTCTTGTATATTTTAAATTATGCTAATAAGAATTAGGTTCTATGTCTTATTTCAAGAAATACATTGTAAATGCTGAAAGAACTCAAAGTAACATTACCAAGTCAGGTCTTCCTGAAAACATTGCTTTCTTGTCACTTATGTCACAATGAACACCAGGGAATTGACCTATCAGCCAACGGCAGTCTTTCCAGTCTTAATCTGTCTTAGGGAATGGCCAATGAACTGCTCCTCAGTTGCTTTCTACACAGCAGCCAAACCTTTAACAGGCTCCTTCCTCTGCTCCGAGTTTCTCCTACTGTAATCAGTTGAAACCAACTAACTCCTCGGTCAGTTGCTCTCTAAGAAATTTGGAGACAGCTAACCTTTCGCCCTTAGGTAACAGTATTAAACCATTCAGTAATGAGTTAACCTTCTTTACAAGGTGTTACTAGTGATCTTAAGAGCAGCTTCAGGCCTTCCTTTACAATTCCCTCAAGAGAGCCAGGGTACTGGTAGTTCACAAAACACTGTTTCTGCTTTGCTTATCCATTACCCTAGGTCTGACTGCAGGACCCAGCTACTGCTCAATGGACCTGATGAGAACTGTGCCTCTATCATCCTTTTTCATACTGCCCACTCACTTATTTCTCCTGCAGAGCTTTTGTTCACATTAAATTGAAATAAAACGAAGCTGAAAACCACTTGTACATAGATTCTAACTCCAGAAGCCACACCACTATGCTGTTTAAACTTAAGATCATCTGAAAGCTTCTACACTGTATAAAATCCCTAAATTGTACTAAAAGGAGCAGCTAGCTTTACCCGAAATAATTACACGGAAACTGTATTCCTTTAAACACTGCCTGGCCCATTAGTTCTAACCCCTTATTGGCTAACTCTTACATTTTCTTTTAACCCATTTCTAATAATCTGTATTGCCACTTGACTGGCTTACCGGCATGAGTTTAACCAGCGTCCATCTCAGAGAGGAGCTTCATGGCTGACTCTGCTTTTTTCTCCCAGCATCCTGTTCTGTCTACTTCACCCACCCAAGGGCTGGCCTATCAAAAGGCCAAGGCAGCTTCTTTATTTAACCAATGAAAGTAACACATAGACAGAAGGCCTACCTACTCCATTTCCCATTTTTCTGTTTAAACGAAAAGGAAGTCTTTAACTTTAACCAGTCCAGCCCAGACCACGGAAGAAGCAACATGTGACCTGCCCTGCTGAGAAAGGTACCGAGCCTGTGGCTAGCATAGATAAGAACAATGGGTTAATATAAGCTACAAGAGCTAATAAGAAGACTGAGCTAATGGGCCAATCAGTTTATAACCTAATGTAGACTCTGTGTGATTTTCTTTGGGACTTGCCGACTGTGGGGTACCAGGTAGGACAGAAACCCCAACAAGCCAGCCCCTTCATATTACACTAAATCTACTTCAGGACATCTAGTGACTGTAGGAGATAGTTTCATTTTTAAGACCCTCAGATTATAAATACATGGATAGGTCATACTAATTTATCCTACTTTCTTCAATAGTGTCAAAAACAAAAGACAATGTAATCTGCACACTGGTAACTCATGACTTACTTTCTCAACATATTCAAACACCAGGTACAGCTTCCCTCTCCGGCGAAAGGCTTCCTTCAGTTCCACAATGTTTTCCTGCTTGAGAGTGCGAAGCATTTTAAGCTCTCGTAAAGTCGTTTCCTTGACTTCTTCATTTTCTAGAATACAGGCAAATACATTAAAGCTTTCAGAGCTACCATTCAAAGAATTTTAAGAGTACTGACATCTTCTATATAAGAAGTCCACAGATAAAAAAGAAGTCCACAGATAGAATATTAACACATTTTCTTGGTGAGACAAAGAAAATAAGAAACTTAAAGAAAAGACTTAGTTGGATCTTATGGTGTACACATGTATTCCCAGCACTTAGGAGGCTGAGGCTGGAGGATGGTAAGTTTCAGGTGAGCCTGGTCTATGTGGTACCAAAAAAGAGCCCAAAACAAAATGAACAACAAAGAAAAGGCTTCCTCAAACAGCTCAAACCCGTTTTTTTTTTTTTTGCTCGCATTTTCTTTTTGTTGTACCAAACCAGAGATTTATAGACATAGCATACAAATTTATCATTATTTAAGCCCTAACATTCTGTATTGCGGAAGAAAATGTTTACAATGGTTATGAGAGTCAACCCTATCAGTGTACAGAGGAGACACTGTGTCCAGAACATGTAGTAGTTGATATCTTAAGGCTGGCTTCAAGTTTTAGCTTATAAGAGCATTTTATTCTTTAGGCTGCTTGTGAATCACCTCCATGAGCACAGGTTGTACATCAGGCATTCACGACACAGTTCATGGCCAAATCACAGGGTACTCTTAAGAGTGTCTTATTTCTCTGAACAGCAGCTGCTGTGGGTTCCTGCTGCCTTCCCATGGCATGTCCATCTGTCCATCCCAGATGGTGTAGCTGTTCTGGGATGGAGAACTTCTGCTGTACCAGTATCTGCCCTTCCATACCATCAACTTCATTTGTAATAACCTTCACAGACATGGAGGAAGGACAGAAGTTACATTAGTGGTAATGGATTAATGGGTAGACAATCAGGGAGCTAATATTTTCACTTTAAATATATGCTTATGATAGTTTCGGAAGTGACAGGGATATTCTAAGTATTGTTCTTTTAATATGTATGTTCAAGAATACAGGTTCATAATTCCCAAATCCCTACATGGAAAACTGAGCCTCTTCTATGTTTGTGACAAATTCATTCAGAAGTAAAACGGAACTGATATGAGACTCTTTATGGTATTTGTTTAACCCACTTAATATGAATATTCATAGTCTAGGCTATAGAAATATGCCTTGATTACAGGGAGCTATGTAGCATGCCATATTTCCATTCTAAAACTTCCAAATTATGAATTAAAAAAAAAACGCATTTGGCCTCAAGGCTTTGGTTAGGGGCCAGCAGCCAAACTTGTGAGATTATGTTGTGGGGACCTCAATTTCAGGCATGTCTTTAAGTCTGAAGAGAAAGAAACTGAAATTTCAGGAAAGGGACAAGAAAACCTAATGGCTTTCAGGAAGACACACTGTGTACACAAGGTACCAGAGAGGGGGAAAGCTGGCTGGAGGCTGTGATGGAGACAGGGAAAGATTCTAAGTGCAGAAAGAAGAATGTTTATCAGCTGATTTTCTGTCCAGCCCCTCATCCAGGCCTTCTCCAAAATGTGTTTTAAGAAGAGGGTAATAGAAACAGGGCTTTGTCGAAGTGGTGAACCTGTGACAATCAGGAAACATAAAGCCAATACTTCGTTGTGACCTGGTTCTGTAAGTTAGGAAATGGTTGGAGCTTGCTGGAATGCAGGTTAGTAAGGGACACGGATGCCGCCTGGGCAGAAATAAGCAGCGGCACTAGAGAAGGCCAACAGTGGCAGAAGCAGTATCGTGAGTGAAGAACCGGAGAGTGAATCACACACGACAGGAAGGATGGGAGACATGCAATTGGGAACTTGTTGAATCGGGAAGCAGCGAAGCTGTTGGATAAGTCCGTGGTCCTCAATACTGTTAAGTACTACCGCGGCCCCAGCCACTGAGACCTGGGGACAGCCTCCAGCCTCCATGAGAAACTTAACCAGGCTCTCCAATTTCATGTTCCCCTCACCTTAGTCTTTTAGTTGCCCTAACAGCCCTAACTTTTGTTAGCATGCGGCATTTCATCTGCTCTCTGGACCCAGAATGTTCAGTCTTCTACCCTGGTTCGTGACAGTGCTGGTTCTTTCAGGGTTTTTAGTAGAATTTCATTCCTCCAGAGGATTTCCCAGATCCTCAAGTAAGATGACTCCTCAGGCTAACATTCTGTATCACTACATGGAGGGCTTTCTTCTCATGGACCAGTTCATCATTTTTCTAGATATGAGTGGAGGATCCCTGACCTGGAATGCTTATGACCAAGAAGTATTTCAAAGTTTAGATATTTTTGATGTGTGTGTGTGTGTGTGTGTGTGTGTGTGTGTGTGTGTGTGTGTGTATGTGGTGTATGTCTGTGTCTGTGTCGTGGTGTGTGGGTAATAAGATTTCTTGGGATTTGGACTCAAATGCAAATACAAAATTCATTTATGTTTCATATATCTGTATCCTGAATGCAACTTTATACCATGTTTTCAGTGTGCTTATGTTTTGACTGCAACATATCATATGAGTTCAAGTATGAAATTTCCCACTTACAGCACCAGTCAAGCACTCAATGAGTTGTAAATCTGAATACATTTCACATTTAAGGTTTTGGGACTGAGACTGTTCAACATGCTACCAACTGCTTACTGATTAAGCTCTTCCGTCCAATATACATTCGACTTTGCAGAACTGTGAACAATGAGAACTTCCTAGCATAAATGCTCAAGCTGGGCCTGTGAAGAGATCTCTGAGCATATATGCCTAGCTCTCCCGAACTTCAGATGTGGGAAGTAGGGAAGGGAGAGATGGCCAACAATTGTCCACTCAATCTTGAGTAGAGTGCTTTCAGTCTTTCTTTTGAGGACTTTGAAAGGCCTACTTGTGAGGTAGTGTGGAAGACAGAATTTATTTTCCCTTTCTCATTTCTGACGCTGATTTTTTTTTCTAGAATATAAAAAATGGGGAATGCAGAAAACTAATAGTACTTAGGGTCAACAGTGTGTACGTCCATATACAAAATCCTCAAGAGGATCAACAAGCTATACTGGAGCCGGGTACAAAGTTGCTAAGTAAATACAGCTGGTGTTTCTTCCCTAATCAAATGCTTGGGAACGCTTGGTATTTAAAGGGCAAGCAAAAAGAGGGTGCTGTGCATTATTATCAAGCTGGGGCAGTTTCCTTGTGCTAATAGATAAAATGAGCGATGATAGAAGGAACACTGGAAGAGAATTATGCAGTTCTAGATTTAGATTCTGCCTTTTAAGCAATTTATGCTGTAACATGCAATTATGGCCAAGGCACTTACAGTTTCATCAGCAAATAAATCTAATACTTTGTGATTTTTATTAAAGTATTTCTGATTATAAACTTTATATATAGTATTTATACTCATTATAAACTTTTCATCAGCAAATAAATCTAATAATATGTGTTTTTTTTCATTAAAGTCTTTCTGGTTATTTTTGGTTGTGAGCCTAGCCTTTACCAGCTGAGCCATGTCTCCAGACAAAGTCTTTTTAAACCCAAAACTCACCGAATTTTGGTAATTGGTAAAGGTATCACTCATTTATACTTGCTCCACTTAAGTGGACTTATGAAAAGATAAAGGTTATATTCTGAATGTTTATAAAGAGAGAAAGAGAAAGAGGTTCATTTCTCAAGAAGGAGCAGCATACAATAAACCAGGCCCAGTGGCACCAACTTATAATCCTGGCTACTTGGAAGGCTAAAGCAGGAAATTTCTAAGTTCAAGGCCAGCCTGGGCAACTTCCTGAGACCCTGTCTCTAAATAAAAAGTAAAAATAATAAACAAACAAACAAACATAAATAAAAGTAAAAAGAGGGGCTGGGATATAGCTTGGTGGTAAAAGTGCTTTCTGAGCAAGTGTAAGCCCTTAGTTCAATTCCCAATACCTAACATACACACACACACACACACACACACACACACAGAGAGAGAGAGAGAGA